TCCCGTTAGTCGCCTCTTACGACAAGCATGGGTTACTGAAGGTTCATTCTAACCCGGACCTTCACGGGTATTGGACCAGACGAACCAGTGACTGACATAAGCATCGATCTACGGGATACGATCAATGGGATACGATATCAAGCATTAACCGAGTCAGCGACCCTGATCACCATATCCCATTGGTCACTTTATACAAGTATGGGTTTCTGATGGCCAATTCTTCATTCGTCGAGTGAGTGAGTTTAGTTTCACGACGCTTTTAGTAATATTCCAGCAATATCACAGGGGAGAACACCAGAAATGGGCTTCACATACTTTACTGTGACGAGCGAACGCTTTAACCGCTAGACTACCCTACCGCTCCTCCCGGTACGTCGAGCGCCTGTCGATGAATATTAGGCACTATATAAAAACTCATCATTATTATTACTAAAAGTTAATAAATATTTGCTAAAAATGTTTCATTTTAATAAAATAACAATTTTAAAACGATTCAGTTCACTCGATACTCCGACTGTATAATGTTTTCTGATGTCTTCAATCCCCTCTAAAGAGCTGCGGACAGAATAGATTGTTTAATTTGAGTGTATGTTGTTTTACGTTACTAAAGTTGATTGATATCACGGCGAACTGTAGGAAAATTGAATTTTATGTCAGGCAAACCAGACTGACTGAGTTTGGTTTTACGCCGCTTTTAGCAATACTCCAGCAACATCACGGCGGGGGACACCAGAAATGGGCTTCACACATTGTACCCATGTGGGGATTCGAACCCGGGTCTTCGGCGTGACGAGCCAACGCTTTAACCACTTGGCTACCCCACCGCCCCCAGGCAAACCAGAGGTCGACGGCATGAACATGTGCATCTGACATGGAAACGTGCACTGAGACAATCCGAATGCCGCTGCGATCAACTCGCTTCACGGGTGTTTGGTAAGAACAGAGGATATGTCCTTTCTGATTCATTTTTTAATCCAATTTTCGATACCATCTCACTCACCAGTTGAGTGGAGAAATACTAATAAGATTCATTTCACGGGAGCTTCAATCTATTTTGAATTTGAATCTGCTGACAAGAACGGTTTCCTTGCTGGTTGTTTGACGACGCACTCAGCAATATTCCAGCTATATGGCGGCTGTCTGTAAATAATCGAGTTTGGACCAGACTATCCAGTGATTAACAGCATGCGCATCGATCCACGCAATTGGGATACGATGACATGTGTCTGTCAAGTCAGCAAGCTTACGTTAGTCGCCTCTTACGACAAGCATGGATTACTGAAGATCAATTCTAAACCGGACCTTCACGGGTCCCAGTGCTTAAAGAGTCACTCCGTAGATCCGCAATCGTAACACGTGAATTGACTTTCACTTACCTTAAACAGTAATGTCGGATTCTGATTGCCTGAGACCTAAAACGTTAACTCACAAGTGAGGCACGTCTGTTATGGTCCTGGCTCGAATTGCCGAACTGTTGGCTTTGCATTTGCAAGATACCAACCGCAATTTTGCCGAACTGTGGTATTCTTACTGAATCGAACTAAAACCTGGAAAAGACATACAGGGAAGATCAATTCTCTGTCAGCCACTGGTAACTTGGGTTGATATACAATAACTGTCAGTTCATCTCGCCCTTCCATGATTTCCTTTGAATATTTGCCATGAAATGTCTGGAATGACGTCGCCAGGTATAGTCCGTTTGGCTCAAAATCGGACCGATGAATTGCAATCTAACTCGAAAACTACTAAACATATAATGCTAGATGAAACACTGATCATAATCAAAACATTAGACCAACTCTGTAATTGTTTTTGCAGAATTTATGTCCCAAAAAAATGCAAAAAAGTTGTTTAACAAACTATCATTAAAATTTTGACACAGTTCACTATTTGTTACGAGGGAGGGGTGCAAAGAGCGGAACAGCCAGATGTTACGATCACTCTCCACTATACCCTGGATGCATCCACGGCTTGGCACGATAATTATATTACCTCCCTTTGCTGGCTCCGCATTCTCACAGTAGCCAATCAGCTAAGCCGCCGTTACATCCGAGCTTGCCAGTGTTAAAAAAGATAGCGGTCGCAGTCACGAAGGTTTGTTCGCAGTGCCACTCAGATTTTTGAGGAAATAATACAGACAAATTGACAGATCTGAAACTTTCAAAAAATATATAAAAGAACTCCTTCTACCTCTTTCAGAGTACCTCTGCATCAATTGTGTTGCCAAGTTTAAAGGGTTAGATAATTTAAGAAGCGAAAGTGTAAGAGTTTTGATTGGTTCGCTCAACTTCCCAGCGTAGACGCCTGATTGGATAAAAAGCCAGCCAAGGGATCGAGGTAATAAAATCATCGGGCCAAGCCGTGGATGCATCGAGGGTATAGTGGAGAGTGGTCGTAACGTATACCCTGGAGATTATCGAGGATGAGGTAAATGATTCAATAACTTTGTCGGCGCGTGCTCCGCGTACACCTGGCTGTTCCTCTCTTTGCAGCCCTCCCTCGTAACAAATAGTGGACTTTGTCAAACTTTAAATGATAGTTTGTTAAACAACTTTGTATATTTTAGGACATAAATTCTGCGAAAAAATCACAGAGTTGGTCTGATGTTGTGATTATGATCAGTGTTTCATTGAGTATTATATGTTTAGTAGTTTTCGAGTTAGATTGCAATTCATCGGTCCGATTTTGAGCCAAACGGACTATAACTGATGGGGAGCTTGGTACATCCGCAAAACATGTCATTCGCAGAAATTTGAAGAAAATGAACAGTATCCACCAGTTAGCGCATAAATGATTTGTGTGTCATTACATAATGGTAACCTGATACAGCCACACGGATACAACACGATCAGATTATCTGAGCTCATCCGTCATCACAACGTGTTAAGGGAAGCAGTGGGTTTGTTGTTCCTGTCCCGTTATTACGTTCACATAGGGGTAACATAAACATACATAAATGAGCTCACAGCCCACACTGCACTAATAGAGAATGTCTTAGACTTGCACTAGTCTCTAAGATAATAATTTATGATTTAAATGATAATTTCTAAAACACAGACTAGCGTCCTTAGACTGTCCGATAATCTAGACTTGCCTCTTTAAAGAATAGAAGTACTGTACATCCGTTGGCTTAACATTCAGTACAGCCTTAGAGCAAGGCTAAGAACATCTCAGCGTGAGAATATCCAGAGATGGTCTTAAAAACAATTAAACTATTTTCTTTCTCATCCGCTGTTCAGGAATAGCATGAATGTAATTTTATGTTGTAAGTTATTTGACTGTTGTGTTAGGATGATCCAGACAGCAATCAGTTTTACGACTTGTCGTAGCAATCAGTTTTACGACTTGTCGTAGCAATCAGTTTTACGACTTGTCGTAGCAATCAGATTTGCGCCTTTTCGTAGTTATCAGTTTTACGACTTGTCGTAGCAGTCAGTTTTACGACTTGTAATAGCAATCAGTTTTGCGACTTGTCGTAGCAATCAGTTTTACGACTTGTAGCAATCAGATTTGCGCCTTTTCGTAGTTATCAGTTTTACGACTTGTCGTAGCAATCAGTTTTGCGACTTCTAGTAGCAGTCAGTTTTACGACTTGTCATAGCAACCGATTTCATGATTTGTGATAACAGCCAATTTCATTATTTGTTATAGCAACTACTTTTAGGACTTATCACAACAACCAATTTTACGCCTTGTCATACGCCTTGTCATAGAAACCAATTTCAAGACCTGTCACAGCAACCAATCCAACAACTTATCAGTAATCAGTCTCACGACGAGCCAGTCTCAATTCGGTTCCATTTCGTTGATCACCCAATTCATCAATTCAGATGCACACGCGGAGCCAGGTGCGCGCATGTTTGACGAAGTAATGTTCGTCTCATATGTTAACTGCCCGACACCATTAGTATGTTTTCACGCCTCTCATCTTGTGGTTATAGTTTGAGTGAGTTAGGTTGATGTCCTACTTAACAATATCAAGCTGTACGACTGCGGTCGGTGAATCTACGAGTTCGGACCTGCTAAGCCAGTGATCAATATTATGAGGATCTATTGGTGACACGCAACCGACCACGTCACCGAACGGGGCAAACATATCCCAGTCGCCTCACGATTTTGAGGGGGCGTGTGTATATTTACCTGGAAACGCTGGGATGGTAAAACCCATACGTGGAACACGTAGCGACGTTCTGAACTGGGTGCGCTTACAGTATTCCCTCATCCGGTTCTTTGTTTGGTACCAGTTTTCTAAATGTCACTACTAAGTTTGCGTAGTATTAGGATAGTTTGTGGCTTTACAGCTCATTTGTACATATCCGATGGCAATTGGCTACAAATAATATTTTATGTCTGCACCATCTTCCTAAATCGACTAGCTCCACAGACGTAAACTTTATTTCATCAACGTTAATTGAATCTGGAAATGGAGGTGTTTTTATGTCGCCATCTTGAAAACCAGTATTCTTTTATTTCGGCCTTGAATCCTACTTTCATATCAACAAACTCTAGGAGCACCTGCATTACGCCAGGGATCGTGAGATAGACGGTATATGAACTCATGACCAGTGACCAATTCCTTACAGTGAAGGGGCGGTGGGGTAGCCTAGTGGTTAACGCGTTCGCTCGTAACGCCGAAGACCCAGATTCGATTCCTCACATGGGTACAATGTATGAAGATCATTTCTGGTGTCCCCGCCGTGATATTGCTGGAATATTGCTAAAAGCGGCGTAAAACTATATGCTCACTACTCCTTACAATGAAACGCATAGCTTCAGACCTTATGGCAAACCTTGCCCTGATTCATGAATTAATTCCTGCACTTCCTGCACCACTTACGGACGTGACTGTACAATCGGAATATCTGTATACGCTGAGTGATTAATCGCTGCTTCCTCTCAGAAAGACCACAAGCTTCACAGATGGTTGAACTGTTTCGAGATAAGCACTTTGTTACATCTGGGTTGACATGTTGCTTTCAGAGGAACATTCTTTTCTAGGAATAAACTAAACGGGTTTTTTTCACAGAGGAGGTCTGCTTCCGGTCGTTTAAGATTGGTATTTCAGCACATGTCGACCTTGAGGACACTGGCTCGCTTTATAGTGAGACGTATGCGTATCACGTCTGAGATCGCAACCTTTCAGAACGAGGCTGTGCTGGCAGACGACAAATGAATACTCTAAACTTGTCTTCGTGACATCATAGTTTGACCCGATGTATGGATACAAGATGATAGCATGTGTTTAACGGCATATCCGCCTCCTTCGTGAAGTGAAGCGTTAGGAAATAGCAAGCATTTCCTGAACTGACGGGAAAGAAATATTCAGCGTTGTCAGGCTTAATGAGGATTCTCTGGACGTATTAATAGTGTTGCATCACGGGACACACGTGATGATGGGGGTAGGTTCAGATCAAACTGAGTGCAGGCTTTCAAGACACGGCGCCATTGACTGTTTTTGTTGCTTCGTAGAAGTTCTAGAAGACCCCATCCTTTTCAACTAACTGTTCCAGAGAAGGTTCGTCTTAAAAGAAGCATTGCTCATATACAGAGTATGATTCTTGGTATGTTGACAGGTCGTTCAGATGTTAACACCAATCAATGAATTAAGGCAACTTCGGACGTTTATTGAAGGGAGTCATCATGTGTAGGAATGGTTCGTACTTGTTTGAGACATTGAACTCCTACTGCGTAACCTCTGAGGATCTCGCCATCAACATTTGCATCGCAATAGCCGCTGTGTTCATCGTCGTCATTAACGTCATGGCGTTGGTGACCTTACGGAGCTGCTCCGATATGGACGACCCCTCCAACTACTTCATCACCAATCTTGCCGCGGCGGACGCCTTGACGGGGATATTTGTACTCTACGACACCGTGTACAACGTTCTCCAATTCAAGAATTACATCGAGTGTGTGATCCGTGTCGGTCTTTTTGCCGCCGTCAATCTAGCTTCTGTACTGAATCTTACAACGTTGACGTTGGATCGCTATGTTAAGATCACCTTCCCCTTTGCATACATACGTCACGTGTCATTCGTGAAGGTGAAGGTCATTGTGGGGATGATATGGAGTTTATCAATCATTGTCGGTTCTCTCCCTTTCTTTGGATGGAGCTCGATGGATATTTCCAAAGTTTGCAGCGTGTTCGGGATTATGACGTCATCGTATCAGTTGTTCCTGATCTCGTTGTTTGCCGTTCCCCTTTTGGTAATAATTTATGCATACGTTAAACTAGTTATCCTTGCGCATGAACACAGTCGGGAGATTACGTCACTCCAGGGAGCCCGCGCAAGCGGCAGGAACTTTCTCAAGACGTGGAGGTCGGTGAAGACGGCGTTAATTATTGTCGGAGCGTACTTCATTTGCTGGATGCCCGTGGGTGAGTAGACTTAATGAGTGCACTAGTTTACAAGACTATCACTAGTATCAGGATACTCTAATCATCTGAAGCCAGTCCAGGCGTTGTGTCATCAAGGGAGGTTGGTGTAATGGTCAAATATTCAAATTAGTTTAGAGATTGATCATGTGGTGCGGGATGAGATGGTACAGCTGACTGGAGCTACATATGTTATATTTGGGATAACACTTTCTCAGTAAATTACTTTTGTCTAGTACTTTGTTAGGTTGAGTCCCATCCAGGATTCGACGACATGTCACCATACAGAAAACGTCAATGACCGTCATATATGCATAATTGTGACACAATGGTATTGCCCTGTGAAGTCGCATTGAGGTGAGGTGAAATTGGGTTTAACGTCGTACTTGAGAGTATTTTGCTCATATGGCGACGTGCATGCGCGTGTGTGTATGTGCGGCTTCCTGTTCTAGCCCAGACTGAAGCTGGTTTTATAGTGCTAGCCCACTGAGATACCATGTCGCAGTGAAGCATGAATACTCCACTCAGACACATTATACTGACTCCGAGCCGACCAGTCCTTGTTGTACCCATTAATGCCGAGCGCCAGGCAGGGACCAACAAGTAGCATATTTTAACGTCTTTTGGTATGACGCGGTCGGGGATCGAACCCGCGGCCTTCCGCTCTCCGGGCGGACGCTCTAACCACTACACCACGGAGGCGGTCGAAGTCGCACTGAAAAAGTTCTTCTTCTGTTGACTTGAGGGAATGTACGAGATGATGAATACACAGTGCTGTTTTAGAATGATGGCACCCGGTGGGACGGATCGCTGACTTTGTGTGCTGGCGATTAGGCGCCTGACTCTGAGTGTAAGGGTTCGAATCCCGGATGGGACTCAACCAAACAGAAGTATTAGAATCTGTACTTTACTAAGAAAGTGTTGATAAGGACGAACCTTTTGGAAAAACAACTTCTTTATTCCTCCAACTTCTACAAAATGCCTCATAAACAAGTTAGAAAGTGTAATCTCAAATATGGACCATGTTACATTACGAGATTAACGATGTGACCGTGCCTCTCTGTTGTAGAGTTGATAGAAAACAGAACGCTGTGTTGCTTTGATAGTCCGTGGGGCCTAATGCTATTTTAAAATAGAATCAACGTTAAGATAAATGGATATCTTAGCCAAATATTTTGATGACACTGTGACATTACACCTTGTTTTAGCAACCTTGAGTTCCTCTAGTACAACACATGTAAGCAAATAGCTCATGATACACCGATTTAACGCGTGCGATTGGGTAACATCTTGGTGAAAACGATAAAGGTTGGTTGGTTGGTTTGTTGTTTAACGCCGCACTCAGCAATATTCCAGCTATGTGGCGGCGGTCTGTAAATCGAGTCTGGACCAGACAATCCAGTGATCAACAGCATGAGCATCGATCTACGTAATTGGTATACGATGACATGTGTCAACCAAGTCAGCGAGCCTGACCACCCGATCCCGTTAGTCGCCTCTTACGACAAGCATGGGGTACTGAAGACTCAGTTCTAACCCGGTCTATTTTGTAAGGGCCAATTGCAATGTTTCATATTATATTAGACATGTGAAAATCCAGATGAAAATTGGTCTTCAGCAACTCATGCTGTTGTAAGAGGGGGTGGGATCAGTTGGTCAGACTCACAGACTCTCTTGTTGCATGTTCTTGTATCCCAATTGTGTTGATTAATGCTAAACATACCTAATATTAGATACGTCACCACGGAATAACTACGTTTTGTTTGTTGCAGTTTCGCCTACATCACTGACTGGCTGACTGAGTATGGTTTTACGCCGTTTTAGCAATAAAAAGCCACCATAGCCACCAAACAAGGGCGTCTATTTTCTTTTGCCCAGTTGTTTGTCCAAGGGGGGATCCTTTCTTGTTGCGTGGGGCGGTGGGGTAGCCTAGTGGTTATAGAGCGTTCGCTCGCCGCGCTGAAGATCCGGGTTCGATTCCCCACATGGGTACAATGTGTGAAGCCCATTTCTGGTGTCCTCCGCCGTGATATGGCTGGAATATTGCTAAGAGGGCGTAAAACTAAACTCACTCACTCACGTTGCATGTGATATCTGTTTATCACCTACCCACAATTTCTGTTATCACAGGACTGTTCACTCTGCTGGTTCTGCTCACGGACATCCGAGCGTCCCTACCAACTTCCCCAGACGTCGTCTTCACGTACCTCCTTGGTATCGGCGTCCTTAACAGCGTCCTCAACCCGATCATCTACGCCACCAAGATCCCAGTGTTCAGGAAGCGCCTCAGGACCGTGTTCTGTGTCAGCCGGGTGCAGCACATCCACCAAATGTCCGTCAGATCAGCCGCCAGTTTGTTCAGAGGAGAACCTAGCTCTCCCAGACGGCAAACATCGACGTCCTTGAACGAAGATCTGTCTTAATAATAGGGCGGATAACAGACCAAAATAGACCAAATCGTTCACTTTGTGATACAAGCACCAAAGTTGGCATGATTGCTCACTATGTGCTCCCTGTTCAGAAAATAACGTTGGCCAGTCAAAAATCCAAGATGGCCGTCATTTTTCAAGATGGCCTCCACTGTTTGAACAAAAATAGTATCTTTTTCCTTTGACCATTATTTATGACAGATTTCGTTCATCCAGATGTCTAATTTCACTGGTTGCAGAACCATGTCTTGTTTATTTATAATTTCGCAATGGCAACAGGTAAACAGTGTATAGTGGTCTGCAGGCATTTGTTTCTTTAACGACAAACATGTACGTCCTTGAACGAAGGCCTCTCTTAATTTCGCAAAGGCAACATCTAAACAGCTTTTATAACACCGTAGGCGTGAGATTCTGATTAAGAGCTGATATTACTGTGCAGACAAGAGTTACAATAGCGGGAAACACCTTGTACTTAAACGAAGACTGTGTTTAACTTCCTAAAGGCCAGGGTGTAACAGCTCATATTAGCAATGGACTTGCTACAAAGAACCTACTTCTAATTCAATTTTTTTATTAATTTCTATAACCAACAATCATTTTACTTGAATGAATATGTTTTTGAAGGTTGAGTTGATTTTGACAACCTATCTCATAATAACAATGCTTATGTCAGTGTCATAAGGGTCCAGCTGTAAAACCGTAAATGTTCTTGAAAATAAATGATTAATTAATTTGTAAGGTTCTTCCATGGTTGTTACATGTTGATTATATTGGAAACTTCATTTCCTGTCCCCCAGCCATAAGGGACCGTTCATAATTTATGGCTATGGGTGGGGGTGATGATGCATAAACTTTAAGGGGTGGGGTCATTCACTTTGTATATGCTTCTCCATTTAAATCTTCAGTCACATGTAACAGGTGGGGTGTCAATCACCAGCAACAAAGCGGAGTGTGAGTCACCTGTAACAAGGTGGGGTGTGAATCACCTGTAACAAGGTGGGGTGTGAGTCACCTGTAACAAGGTGGGGTGTGAGTCACCTGTAACAAGGTCACCTGTAACAAGGTGTGAGGAGTCACCTGTAACAAGGTGGGGTGTGAGTCACCTGTAACAAGGTGGGGTGTGAGTCACCTGTAACAAGGTGGGGTGTGAGTGAGTCACCTGTAACAAGGTGGGGTGTGAGTCACCTGTAACAAGGTAGTGTGTGAGTCACATGTAACAAGGTGGGGTGTGAATCACCTGTAACAAGGTGGGGTGTGAGTCACCAGTAACAAAGTGGGGTGTGAAGCACCTGTAACAAGGTGGGGTGTGAGTCACCTGTAACAAGGTGGGGTGTGAGTCACCAGTAACAAGGTGGGGTGTGAATCACCTGTAACAAGGTGGGGTGTGAGTCACCTGAAACAAGGTGGGGTGTGAGTCACCTGTAACCTGTAGTGAGTGAGTGAGTGAGTTTAGTTTAGTTCACTGTATACAGATTCCTATAAACAGGGCGATTAGGATTATGTATGTTTCAAACAAGCTTAACAATGAAACAATCGAAACATGCATATCTGTAGGCAAAGTTGAGTTTGGGTAGATCCTGACTGGAATTGGCTCATTGTCTATTCTGAACTAAAATTGGTCCTAAGGCCCCCTTCCCCCCCAAAAGAATGTTGTGGTTCCGATGAGTTTAGTTTTACGCTGCACTCAGCAATATTCCAGCTATATGGCGACGGTCTGTAAATAATCGAGTCTGGACCAGACAATCCTGTGGTCAACAGCATGAGCTTCGATCAGCGCAACTGGGAACCGATGACATGTGTCAACCAAGTCAGCGAGCCTGACCACCCGATCCGTTAGTCGCCTCTTACGACAAGCGTGGGTAACTGAATATCAATATTCTAACCCGGACCTTCATGGGTCTGAGCCACCTGTAACAAGGTGGGGCATGAGTCACCTGTAACAAATTGGGATAAGAGTCACCTGTAACAAGGTGGGGCATGAGTCACCTGTAACAAATTGGGATAAGAGTCACATGTAACAAGGTGGGGCATGAGTCACCTGTAACAAATTGGGATAAGAGTCACATGTAACAAGGTGGGGCATGAGTCACCTGTAACAAATTGGGATAAGAGTCACATGTAACAAGGTGGGGTGTGAGTCACCTGTAACAAGGTGGGGCATAGCTCAGTCACCTGGTGGGGCATATGAGTCACCTGTAACAAGGTGGGTGGTGTACCTGTAACAAGGTGGGGCATGTCACCTGTAACAAATTGGGATAAGAGTCACCTGTAACAAGGTGGGGCATGAGTCACCTGTAACAAATTGGGATAAGAGTCACCTGTAACAAGGTGGGGTGTGAGTCACCTGTAACAAATTGGGGGGCATGAGTCACCTGTAACAAATTGGGATAAGAGTCACCTGTAACAAATTGGGATAAGAGTCACCTGTAACATGGTGGGGCATGAGTCACCTGTAACAAGGTGGGGCATGAGTCACCTGTAACAAGGGGCATGAGTCACCTGTAACAAATTGGAGTCACCTGTAACAAGGTGGGGTGAGTCACCTGTAACAAGGGATGAGTCACCTGTAACAAGGTGGGGTGTGAGTCACCTGTAACAAATTGGGATAAGAGTCACCTGTAACAAATTGGGATAAGAGTCACATGTAACAAGGTGGGGCATGAGTCACCTGTAACAAATTGGGATAAGAGTCACCTGTAACAAGGTGGGGCATGAGTCACCTGTAACAAATTGGGATAAGAGTCACATGTAACAAGGTGGGGCATGAGTCACCTGTAACAAATTGGGATAAGAGTCACCTGTAACAAGGTGGGATGAGTCAAGTCACCTGTAACATGGTGGGGCATGGAGTCACCTGTAACAAGCCTGTAACATGGTGGAGTGTGGGGCATGAGTCACCTGTAACAAGGTGGGGCATGAGTCACCTGTAACAAATTGGGATAAGAGTCACCTGTAACAAGGTGGGGTGTGAGTCACCAGTAACAAATTGGGATAAGAGTCACCTGTAACAAGGTGGGGCATGAGTCACCTGTAACAAATTGGGATAAGAGTCACATGTAACAAGGTGGGGCATGAGTCACCTGTAACAAGGTGGGTGTGTGAGTCACCTGTAACAAGGTGGGATATGAGATGCCTGTAACATGGTGGAGTGTGAGTCACCTGTAACAAGGGGCAAGAGTCACCTGTGGGGCATGAGTCACCTGTAACAAATTTGGATAAGAGTCACATGTAACAAGGTGGGGTGTGAGTCACCTGTAACAAGGTTGGGTGTGAGTCACCTGTAACAAGGTGGGGCATGAGTCACCTGTAACAAATTGGGATGAGTCACATGTAACAAGGTGGGGCATGAGTCACCTGTAACAAGGTGGGGCATGAGTGACCTGTAACAAGGTGGGACATGAGTCACCTGTAACAAGGTGGGTGTGTGTCACCTGTAACAAGGTGGGATATGAGATGCCTGTAACATGGTGGAGTGTGAGTCACCTGTAACAAGGTGGGGTGTGAGTCACCTGTAACAAGGTGGGACATGAGTCACCTGTAACAAGGTGGGGCATGAGTCACCTGTAGCAAATTTGGATAAGAGTCACATGTAACAAGGTGGGGTGTGAGTCACCTGTAACAAGGTGGGGTGTGAGTCACCTGTAACAAGGTGGGACATGAGTCACCTGTAACAAGGTGGGGTGTGAGTCACCTGTAACAAGGTGGGATATGAGATGCCTGTAACATGGTGGAGTGTGAGTCACCTGTAACATGATGGAGCGTGAATCACCTGTAAGGCCGTGGGATATGAGTCACCTGTTATGTGGTGGGACGTGTTACCTGTAACAAGGTGTGATGCGAATGACCTGTAAGAAGGTGGGATGTGAGTCATCTGTAAGAAAGGTGTGATTCACCTGTACCATGGTGAGTGAGTGAGTGAGTTTAGTTTTACGCCACACTCAGCACTATCCCAGCTATATGGCGGCAGTCTGTAAATAATCGAGTCTGGACCAGACATCCAGTGATCAACAGCATGAGCATCGATCTGCGCAATTGGGAACCGATGATGTGTCAACCAAGTCAGAAAAACTGACCATGCGATCCCGTTAGTCGTCTCTTACGACAAGCATAGTCACCTTTTATGGCAAGCACATGGGTTGCTGAAGACCTATTCTACCCCGGATCTTCACGGGTCACCTGTATCATGGTTGGGTGTGAGTCACCTGTAAAGAGGTGGAATGTGAGCCACCTGTGATGTGGTGTGGGGGTAGGGTTGTCATGTGTAACAAAGGTGTGAGTCACCTGTAACAAGGTGGGTTGTGAGCCACTTGTAACATGGTGGGGGTGTTATCTGTAAGAAAGGTGTGAGTCGCATGCAACATGTCAGGTGTCATCTATCATCTGTGACAAGGTGAATGTGAGCCACCTGTTACAAAGCGGGATGTTAGTCAGCTGTAACATGGTTGGATGTGAGACGCCTGTTACAGTGAGTGAGCCAGTGTCCACAAGGTCGAAGTGCTGAAATCCCAATCTTAAACGGACGGAAGCAGACCTCCTCTGTTAAAAAAAACCTGTTCAATTTATTCCTAGAAAAGAATGTTCCTCTGAAAGCTACATGTCAACCCAGATGTAACAAAGTGCTTATCTCAGAACAGTTCAACCATCTGGGAAGCTTGTGGTCTTTCTGAGAGGAAGCAGCGATTAATCACTCAGCGTATACAGATATTCCGATTGTACAGTCACGTCCGTAAGTGGTGCAGGAAGTGCAGGAATTAATTCATGAATCAGGGCAAGGGTTGCCATAAGGTCTGAAGCTATGCCTTCCATTGTAAGGAGTAGTCAGCATATAGTTTTACGCCTTTTTTAGTAATATTCCAGCAATATCACGGTGGGGAACACCAGAAATGGGGTTCACACATTGTACCCATGTAGAGAATCGAACCTGGGTCTTCGGCGTGATGGCCGATAGCTTTAACCCTAGGCTACCCCACTGCCCCACTGAGAGACAGACTACAAGTCTTTCTAAGTATAACCTGCAGGACTGCTAGAATAAAAATCATTCATTGTATACAGATACCTATAAACAGGGCGATTGGGATTATGTCTGTTTCAAACAAGTTTAACAATGAAACAAGCATATCTGTAGGCAATTGTGCATTCTGAACTAAAATTCATCCGTTAGTCGCCTCTTACGACAAGCATGGCTTGCTGAAGACCAATTCTAACCCGTGTCTTCACGGGTCAGTGAAGGAGAGCGGGATCACTAAATCACTCATAAACTTTTATTCCGGACTAGACATACAACATGTCATTCATGCTCTCATTACAATTCAGAATAATTCATATCAAATCCATACATCATCTCATGACATAATCAATGTACACATGGAAGATACACATATTTCCTTTAATACACAATCTCATTAAAATAAGATCTTAGCGCTTGTCATTGCTACACATTATGTGACATAGCAGTGGAGAGTATAAGACCTGAATTTAATGACATTTCTTGAATACACAAACAAAAGCACCATTCCCTTCTAATGTGGAGTTAAAATAATAATTTTAACATCATTATTACTTTAATAAGCATCAATCATTGAGATTATTAGACCTTTTGTTCTTAATAGCAAATTTTCAAAACTTAGCCTAAAGTCTGTGTGTAGGGCATATTGGTAGAGTTGATGTTGATGGTGTTGGCGTCAGTGTCGGTGTCCATGGTGTTGGTGTTGGCGTCGGTGTCGGTGTCCATGGTGTTGGTGTTGTGTTGGTGGCCTTGGTGTCTGTGTCAATGGTATTGGTGTTGGTGATGTTGATGGTGTTGGTGTCGATGGTGGTGTTGGTGTTGGCGTCAGTGTCGGTGTCGATGGTGTTGGTGTTGATGATGGTGCTTACGCCAGTGTCGGTGTGTCGATGGTGTTGGTGTTGATGTTGATGGTGTTGGCGTCAGTGTCGGTGTCGATGGTGTTGGCATGTTGGCGCATGGTGGTGTGGATGGTGTTGGTGTCGATCGTGTTGGCGTCAGTGTCGGTGTCGATGGTGTTGGTACAGTCATAACAGTAACCAACACCACAGGGGCTTGTAACACGTAAAACTAGCATAAAAATATACACTGTCACCTGGTCACTAGTGTTGGGAATTGGTTGAAATCTCACAATTGATGATTGGTTCAATACCAATGACCAATCATCGAAAAAAAATTGGTTAGCGTCAGTTTTTAGATTTTCCTAATCAGGTTGTAGTTGCAGATAAGTATAAAGAAAAAACATTTGGTTCTCTGTTGTTGTTTTTTAGAAACTGCACAAATTACATTTGCAGATTTCACATCCAGTGTAAAAATGATTCAGTTCCAGTGTAACATTAACTTCACAGAACCCTCAAGAAATATTCAGTCATGACTTTTCAGAAAGTGAAGTGAGTTTTCTTAGAAATAAACACGGTTTCAGGCCCTGACAACGTCCTAGATATGTTCCATCATCAAGTATTTCAAACTCTATTACAGCGGTTCCAAAATCGTTTGTGTTTGATTATTAGAAAACATGATCGATTGCTTGGTCGTTGGCCACTGCGACCAATCTTCGATTATTTCAATTAATCGGACCACCACTACTGGTCACTGTACCTTATGTCTTAGTACCAAATAAAAGATCCTTTTTATAGTGATAAGTGAGTGAGTGTGGTTTTACGCTGCTTTTAGCAATATTTCATCAATATCATGGCAGGGGCCACCAGAAATTGGCTTTACACATTGTATCAGCATGATGAGCCAATGCTTTAATGATTAGGCTACCCCACCGCCTGTATAGTGCTATGACCTCATCAGTGACAATACAGGCCTACACCTTGACAGTAGTTTTGCATTACAAGCCCCTGTAGTCAACACAAGTTACAGCATGTGCCATTATGTTTTCATACACAAGTACAGCTGGTCAGCAGTACACAAACACATGACTGGTCAAGCAGCTTTCTGCTGTAACTGACTGCACTGATTCTGCAGATCACATGTTCAACAGTCAGCTTGTAATTCTTTTCATGTTTGTTCAGAAGAGAGGAGTTCTCAAACAGAATATTCATTCAAAGCCAATTTCTTCCAGAAATCAGGTTGAAAATAATCAAATATTGAATAATAGCATACTTTTAAGTTCAGATCTAACTTTTAACAGAGAGCAATTTTTGTTTCTCGGCTAACAATTTCTTATATTCTTCTGTAAGATTACCAAGTTTCAGCTTCAAGTTTGCAACTGTCACAGCTAAACTTGAAGCTTCTTGGAAACTTGACTGACTTCTCCTCAGAGTTTGTGGAACAAGCACTCCAAACCATTTCAATGGATCAACATGATTAGGCTTTTCCCCTGAAGACTTGTCTTTGGCAGCATCAGAAGAATCACCCGCAGAACCAATAGTTTCAACTTCAGGAGCATCTCCATCAGAATGTTTTTCTTTCACATTTCTCTTGCGTATTATATCATCTTTCACAGAATCTTTTGAACTCTTGGTACTGGTTTTTGAAACTCAAATGTAGTGTCTTCCTTTTCTCCATTCACAAGAACGGTGAGGAGAGGGTCCATCTCATCAGGTAACTGGGTAGCACTGACGGACTTGACGCCCATGGTGTAACGAGCCCTGGACAAGTTCAAGTAGCCATCTTTCATATATTGCTCAAGCTTAGCCTGTTCCTGATACACTTGACCCAGGACATCAAAGAATTCCAGAAGGTTCTCGTCTAGCTTCTCACTTACTTCTTCTAGTTGGGTCATCCTGTCAACAAAAAACCCAAAGGAATGTTGACCAAGAATTGTTAATGTTTTCATATCAGAAAGCAAGGGGGGAAAGTAGCCATCTAGCACTAACTTCACACTGTTGCTCCTATTAGGATGATAGTATTACTGTGGGCATTTTTGTATCATGATGAAAGTCTTCCGTAAAACCTGCTGCTGGGGTCATCAAGTGTGTATTTTGACCAAATTGGCTGGGGCGATTTGACTGGCATCCGTATGGGCTCCTTTTCTCTACATTCATTGAATCATATATTTTCGGAGAGACCTATTTTATCATTTGTAGTCATAGGCTGACTCTAAGAACACTAATAGAATCTATTTGCCACAGCACTGAAATCCTTGACCTAGATATATTTCAAAAAACAAATATATTGCATCGTTGATCTCGAGCAACTCTTTCATGTGTTGATTGTGTTTTGAGTTGGTTACATCTATCGTTCTTGGGTACATGGATCTAAAACCAACAGCATTGCTGATGACGAATGGTGTAAGCATTTCAAGATAAGTCACTTGACAAGTATGGAAGGTGCTCGACGGGGTCACGTCGTGCACTGTATCCAGGTAAAAACAAATAAAATGAAAAATTTCTTTTCAAACGCATGGTCGGAATTATCGGCATAACAAATCATACTAATATAAGACAACCAAACAACCCATAGCTGTACAAAAGAAACCTTACTTATCAGCTTTCTCAACATCAACTGAGATTTCCGCACAGGATTAGTTATTTAGAGTTATCCGCCCCTAACTTGATATATGCAGAATGAAGATGCACTTTTTTCACTGGTCAATATTTATTTGATCGTACTAGAACTCTGTAAAAGAAAATAATTTTCTATGCAAACATTTATTTGTGTATCATCTATTTAAAGTGGATGAAATAAAAGCAAGAATATACATAATGGGACTTTTAAAAGTCAATATTTACCATGATTTAATCCGCAGCCAATGTGGAAATATGGCGGCTGATCCAACGTGTCTGTGTTGTTATTAATATTTAAGACTGGAAATTCAAAACATTTATGAATACTTTTCGACCATGGCTGCGGAATGTCAATACCTGTTCATTACGGATCTTCCAGAAGAAATACTGGAGATTATCCTAGCCAAATTATCCCCTTATCGGGATTTGAAATCTGCTAAACTTGTTTGTAAACAGTGGCATCGCCTCGTGACAGGTATGGACATTTTCCTTCTCACGAAAACAATGCCTAGATTCTTTGTATTCGCTATTGTAGTTTTGCTATTGCGTTTTATGTTACAATTAAGTACGTGTCACACAAGCCTTCACTGAATATCAGTGATAAAACGCGCAATATTTAGAGTAATAATATGACTTGCACAAAATGTTAGAACTAGAAGATTTATGATTGACTGGGGCCCTTTGACTGTTTAGTGTTTGCTAATTTCCATGACTGCTATAATGTGATAATACATTATTTTTCTGTTGCGGGTCATAGTTAATCTTCAGTAAACCATGCTTGTTGTAAGAGGTGATTACGGGATCAGGTGGTCAGGCTTGCTGACTTGGTTGACACATTTCATTGTATCTCATCTGTGTAGACTGATGCTCATGATGTTGATCACTGGATTGTCTGCTCCAGACTTGGTTATTTACAGAGTATTGCATATAGAAAACAAACAAAACCACGGGGGCTTGTAACGCTAAAAACTGGCATCATGGTATGTACTGTCACTGACAGGGTCTTAGCTCTATATTAAAGGAAAGGGATGTAACGATTTTTGTGCTGTATGTCTTATTTTGTAGGTAAATCTATTGGCTTGAAATGTGTGCATACTTTAAATGGTATAAATACAGTGAGCATTGTTGAATTCGCGCGCTGAAACGAAGTTGGTGTATTGACCTTGTTACATCCCTTTCCTTTTATATAGTCCCCATCAGTGACAGTACATACCTTGATTCCAGTTTTTAGCGTTACAAGCCCTTGTGAAACAAACAAAGTAGGAGGAGCACATGAAGTTGTGAACAGAAGAAAATGTGTGACCCAGTTTAACCAGATATATTTTAAATTTCTTATTTGTTTCCAAGTATCCAGTACAGATATAGTGAATGATGACATGAGAAAACATAGTAAGTACTCAATGGCTCAAAACCTAATCCAGAGGCCTGGTAATTTTTTTTTCAGGTGTTACTCAGAAACTATATGAAAACTTCCAGCAGTGCATCAAGACGTCCAGTGTTGTATGGACTCCCTTCCAGGCTGAGGCAGGCCCTACCATCACTGAGCGATACTCCCACTGTGCCTGTTACTATGACAAGTCCTTGTATGTCTTTGGGGCTGCACCTCCACAAACACCACCTTCAATGATCTGTGGAGGTTTGACTTGGCAACCAGACAGTGGATAAGACCTCTGGCGATGGGTAAATACTAGCGATGCATCTAATCTATTATGAATATGATACATGTCATGACTACTGGGTAACAGATTCAAATATTGGGTAACAATTACAATAACAAGTCAGAGGCTGATGTATTTTTCAATATATTCAGTGAATTAGTTACAGTATCTTTATTGGACATGTTTTGACCATGTTGACAATGTTAATTTATCACGAAAATAACCAGTGACCATATTGTGAAGTTAAATATATACAAAATAACTGAACATTCATGAATATTTGATTCTAATGATCACAAACAAAGACTTGAATTTGTGAAAGGGTATGGTTTGATTCACCGAATACTCAAGTGAATTGTATGAACCCTAGTAAATACTTATGTGTTTTGTGTTTTAGGAACCTACCCGTCCCCAAAGGCCTGTGCCTCCATGGTGGTGTACAAGGACAACCTGGTTCTGTTTGGGGGTTGGAGTCACCCTACACCCTATCCACTTCACCAGGTAGGTAGTGGTAACCATGGCACAATGTACACAGTTTGTGTACGTCCTTATCACTGTTTATAGTTAACTCACAATTTACTTAGCTTAGGGAATGGTGGACATCAAGTCATTTATTGCTAGGAAATATGCATTAGTGGGAAATAAGAAATTGGGGGCGCGGTGGGCGAGCTGGCCAAGGAGCCAGGCTAGTGATCCAGCAAGCTTGAGGTGACAGGATCGAGCCCACCTGTGACCGGGTGTAAAAACCTTGGAGTCAACTTTGCGTGCAGACTCTCTCAGTGTTGTCACAACCCCTAGTGTACAGTACACACGAATCCGTTGGTACATGACCAGATGTTGGCCACATGAATACTTGCAAACACCTAGTTGCGGGTACAGCAACGTGCAGTGAACTTGGACAAAGTACTGTGACTATGTGTCCCAGTCCACCCAGCTGTGAATGGGTACCTCGTAAGGATGGGAAAGCCACATTAACTCGGTGCGCCTAGTGGCACTGGCAGCAAGAGTTGTATGATCCCCAGGGACTTGAGATTGATAATACATTGTGCTGTTTGAGACTGACATCCAATGATCGAGGGAAAAACAAAGCGCCTTTGAGCAGGTGATATGGATATTGACGCTATATAAATATTTATATAAAAAAATGCTGCGAATGTTAAGGTAATACCATTGCAGTAGTTAGGAAGACCCAGTAGTGATGTCTTGTCCTAACCATCCTGATGAACCCTCCTTGATGCAGTGATAGAGCATCTGTGCCTGGAGAGTGGAAGGTCAGGAGCTCGATCCTATCTGTGTCATGCCTAAAGACATTAAAAGAACTTACTTCTTGTTTCCCTGCCTTGACACTCATAAAGGGATAAAACACGGATTGGTTGACTCAGCATCAGTATACTGTTGGATAATCGTTTTAAAACTGTGGCATGGCATCTCATTGTACTAGCACTATAAAACCAGCATTATTCCTCTCTAGTACAAGCATTCACACGTGCATGAATGTCACTATGTAAGTGGAATAATTGTAAAATCCACATTAAACTCTATTTCAAACCAGTGGTTGATAACCACTACATTGGTGTACAAACATAAACTCTAAACAGAAAGTTTCTGTCATTCCATATAAATCCTACCTATATATTGAAAACGGATTTGCTAGTAGACATTTGGCTAGAGGCAACTTCAGTGAGTCAAGTTGTCTGGATCAATGTCTTTATTGACTATATTGTATCCAAATGGCACATGATTTTTTAATGACAATCACATCAATGTATTTTCAGGCTGCAAGGTTTTTTCCGGAGTTGCATATGTACAACCCATTCAGTAATCGCTGGAGTCATGTGACCAGTCTGTCTCGTCCATTACCAAAACCCATTGCTGGACATTCAGCCTCCGTCGTGAAGGATGTCATGATAGTATTTGGCGGATCTCATGTGCCAGGAGTCGGGTGAGTAAATGATCTCTCTGTTTAATATTTCATGTTTGATCAAGTGACTGTTTTTCAGCAACCCATGCTTGTAATAAAATGTTGGTCAGGCTTCTTGACTTTGTTACTGCATGTCATCGAATCCCAAATGCTGATTCTGACGTTCTGATGTTCAGGAACTGATTGTCTGGCCCATACTTGAGTATTTACAGACTGATGTCATATAGCTGGAATATTACTGAGTGAGTTGTTATTGGATTAAGGATTGCCCAGTGGTCTGAGATTCCACAACTTTCAGGGCATCCTGTGTGCCATGATCTGTGGGTTGCTGGTTTGTATCTGGGATGTTGCTTGGCTTATGTTTCTTGTTTTTTTAGCATTTTAGTTCATTACCACCGATCAATCATCAAAAATAATTGGTTAGCCTCATTTATGAAATTTGTTAATGCACAAAAAAATAACGAAAAAAACATGTAGTTATTTTTGGGTGTTTTGGTTAAATTTCACATCTTTAAAGGATGACTAGTATGTTAGGAACATAAATTTCTTGGTGTCTTTAAGATAACTTCAATCATGACTTGGAACGAGCTTGTAGTGCTTATGAAATGTAACAGACAAAACCAACCTAGTGAAAAATATTGTTGATGAAAACAAGTGTTCCAGAATTGTTTGTGTTCGATTATGAAAAAACATGATCGATTGCTTGGTCGTTTAGTCACTGCGACCAATCTTCGATTATTTCAATTAATCGGACCACCACTAGTGAACATAGTTTTTTCCAACAGCTTGTTGAAGTTTAGTGCACATTATCTCAAACGCTTTCTCACAAACCGGAAGTAGTGGTGTTGATCAACTAACCGATAGCTTTTGTTTAAAGCTTCTCAAAATGTGTATGAAAGTGTTGCTACTGATGATTTTGATTATCATAATAAAAATAATAAATGATAATAATAAATATGCATTTATGATGCGCACAATCCAGACAGATATGCCTGCTCAAGGCGCTACAAGGGAAATATGTGCAGATAAAAGTCAGAGAAAGAGTTCACTATATTTAAACATCACTGTGATACTTGGAGAACATATGGGTCTTCTAGCTTGAAAGCATTAGTTAAGTTATTACTGATAATGACTAAAGTGTAAATTTATCATGATATGCATTATTTTTCCTTATCCTGACTCATGCTCTTTTGCTTGTCTTCTTCTTCTTGCGAACATAGTGGAACACTTGTATCTCCCTAATTGAAGCTCCCTTCAATGTAAAATCACTAATTAGTACTCACCACGAGTTGCCTCCCTCTTCCTTAGCTCGGGAAAGGAGGCGCCACCCTCTGGCCTCATGCTTCACTCTCTCTTTCTTCGCCCAGTGAGCAGGATGTGAGAGCGCCTGTGTCTCCCTACACACTATATCCTTTGATTATTCTTAGTTTATTACCTCTTATAGTCTTCTATAGAGGTGTAGCTAGTATCCTTCTACAATTATGTATTGATAATTAATCGTATTTCTGCTGTTTATTCACGGGATGCCGTGTTTGTTCAGCTAGTTTACTTTGATGAAAATCTGTACTATTTGTAGATTATGTTTTTCTGCTGCTGATCCGCATTTAATATGCCCTAGCTGTACTACGCCATGTGCGTTTTCTTCACGTTGCAGTTATTGTATTAATCTCTCTAATTCTGCATTTAATAAATATTATCTTTGCGTCTTGAGACGTGCAGCAGATAGGTCACGCACACAAGGTTTAGCCATGGCCCGAGACATCGGAACCCCTAGCCAGTCAGCTGCTGTCGGACGACCCCCTCCCGTCTGGTGTTCCGCTAGAGTTACCCTCGGAGGAGAGGCGTGGGACGCAGTCCGCCGTCTCCATGAAGCGTCCTGCATCCCCAGACATCCCGTCGTCTCAGCCAAAGTCTAAGAGGGTTTCGACATCATCTCAACGCAGACTCCGTACCCCCAGGGCAGCGTCTACCTCCAAGGGGAAATCAACCAAGTCTAGAACCTTCTCAGCCGAGATTGTTCCCGCCGAGAACTGGGCCTGTATGATGATCAGCCGATCATCATATCCGATCTACGCCACAAGAAACGACCGGTGTCGGCAACAGTGACGTCAGCGCAGATCGCCATGCAGCCTGATGTACCAACGCTGATGTCGGACAATCTTCCTGAGGGCCCCGTCGCTACCAACGCAGAGAGGGCACCGACTACATCTTCACAGACCGTCCCAGACGACCTGATGCGGCAGATCATGAAGATGATGGAGGACCGATACAGACTGGAGAGACAACCAGCCCAGAGCCTGAGCCTTCGCGAAGGCTCCAACGTAGACGACACCCCATAGGGACCCCCCGTCAACGTAGAGGCCACTACGATGCCACCTCCGCGAAGGAAGTCATCCCTGGACTCTGACCCTCAGCCTTCGCGAAAGCCTTCGCGAAGGTCAAGTCGTCGCTCCCCAGGACCGGACTCAGATGAAGCTTCGCGAAGGTCTCCGCGAAGTGCACCAGTTACAGGCTCCAAGTCATCTTCGTCTAGAAGGCCATCGAGGGATTCTCCAAGAGCTTCGCGAAGCTATCAACGTTCGCCACATAGATGGACGCTGAAGGTCACCATTTAGACACAGCTCGTCAGCTCGTTCACCAAGACGATCTCCTCGCCGTTCTCCACGCCGATCACCTCGTCGTCCACCTTGCCGATCGCCTTGCAGGTCACCACACCGTTCGCCGCACAAGTCTTCACGGAAGTCCCCTGTCAGGTCTCCGGTGTCATCGTCCTGCACAGAGATAGATCCATACAGGTCACCATCGGAAGAGCATCAACCTCTTATAAGCGATCCCGTTATAGAAGATGATGGAGGCATCATATTCTCAGACGCTGAGATACGCTATTGGATGGTTAACAACCTGGACCTAGCCTCACCGTCTAAGAACGGTAATCCGGCACACACTTACGTGATGAGGGAGGACGATGCAGACAACATCACCCTACCTCCGATCGACCCGATTGCTACGGTCCCACAGAATCTGGACACTGCATTCCATAAAGCCACTAAAGTCCAAGGGCCACACTTACCACAGTTCAACGCTAAGAAGTTTGCAACTCATAATATGGACCCCTTTTTCAAGGCACAAGAGATCGATGACAACTACAAAGTGATCAACGATGTCAAGAATAAGAACTATAAGATTGACGATCGCAAGCTGGTTCAGATCGAAACCATGACAAGGCGAATGTTCTTCGGCCTTAATAGATCTAGAACGATCAATGAGACTCTTATATCCAGATTTCGAGATTCGACATCTGAGGATGACAGAATGGGCTACTCGGCCCTACTTATGCAAAAGAAGGACCAGCAGTTTCTAACGGATCATCTCACATCAGTCCCTGCAGCACTAACCCTGGCTCGTCGTCAAGGCCTCCTCGCTTCCTGCAGCTGGGGTAAGCAGTTTACAGCTCCACTCTACACAGCCCCGTGGTCTAACGCCATCCATCTTCGACGGAGGAATAGACAAAGTCTCTAAGGAAGTCACCAAGGATTCTAGAGAAGTCCTTATGATAAAGTCGATGGACACGCTAGCCAGCGTCATCAGGCAGACTTCACAGAGGTATTCAGGGAAATCTAAATTCACTGGATTACAGAAAGCACGGGATAGGAAGATGGCCAGCTCCAGAGGAAAAGATTCTTTTCGTCGCCCATATGGCAACTACAGAGGAGGATCAGGAAGAGGCAGGGCACCCAGAGGTCCCCGCAACTATAAACGATGAAAGACAGGTTCGGGAACGACTGGAGTCTTCCACCCACAGCCGTTCCAGTACAACCGTCACAAGTGGGTGGACGCCTTCAACTGCACTGGGAGAACTGGGGAATGTTACAAGACCCATATGTCTCCAACATTCTTCAACACGGATATCGTATCCGCTGACAGTCAACCCTCACAAGTTCGACTTCCAGGCGCAACAACTACCAAAGTTAAGAGAGGCTGTTACATCTCTCCTAACCAAGCAGGCCATAGAAGTACTAGATCAAGTAAACATCGAACCAGGCTTCTACTCCCAAGTTTTCCTAGTGCCCAAGAAAAACTCCAAGGAGAAATACAGACTCATTTACAACATGAGCACATTCAACAGAGATTATCTACGCAAACCGCCAACGTTTCGCATGATACATCTACCTCAACTACGGCACCTAATTCGTCCCATGGACTACATGGCCAGTATAGATCTGCAGGATGCCTATCTACACATCCCGATACATCCCGAATGCAGGAAATACCTACGGTTTACACTAGACGGGCTGCATTATCAATGGAAAGTACTCCCATTTGGAATATTATCAGCCCCCTGGTTATTCACAAGAGTAACGAAACCTATCGTCACTTACCTACATCGTCTAGGGCTACGCAGTGCGTTTTACCTCGATGACGGGATACAAGTAGATCAAGATCCACAGCATCTCAAACTACAGTTAAACTTCATCATCAAGCTACTAACACAGCTAGGATGGTTAGTAAATCTACTCAAGTAGGACCTAGTACCAACGCAATATCTGCAGTTTCTAGGCATTCGATTTATCACGACACTGAACCGTATCGTCGTACCAGAAGACCGATGGCTCAAGATCCAACAGACCATCCCACAAGCCTTACTCTCTCTGCTACCACTACGACAATGGCAGAGTCTGTTGGGTCTCCTCACGTCAGCCCAAGACATGACAGTCAGAGGCAGACTACAGTTACGTCCGTTACAGGTCTTCATCAATGCTCATCTCGACGACCTACAGCCATTCAGTCTACCGAAACACATCAGACCTCATCTACTATGGTGGACCAGGAGGTCGAATGTCTGCGAAGGCATTTATTTAACAGAGCCGGAATTCAAAACCCATCTCTTTGTAGACGCGTTGCTCCAAGGTTGGGGAGCTCATCTCGCCAACCGGACGGCATCAGGGTTATGGAATCAGCAAGAAAGCAAGCTCCACATAAACATGCTAGAGATGAAAGCTGTAATCAACGCCATACTACATTGGAGCACCATTCTACAGAAGGCGCATCTGATGATTCACACCGACAACTCAACAGTGGCGTTTTATGTAAACAAACAAGGCTCAACGAGATCACTGAACCTATTGACTTTATGCTTTCAACTGTTCGATCTAATCGATGATCTCAACTTACATGTCAGAGCATGTCACATTCCCGGAGCCAAGAATGTACTAGCAGACGCACCTTCTCAGGCCACACCTACCGTCACCGACAGAATGGATGCTTCACACAGAAATCTTTGCACAGATTATCAAGAAAATGGGAGCTCCGCTAGTAGATCTATTCGCCACTCGCTTCAACAATCAACTAACAACATTCGTATCACCAGTCCCGGATCCACAAGCGTGGGCAACGGACGCTCTAAGCATATCCTGGGAAGGCCTCAACGCGTACGCGTTTCCGCCGCCAGCGTTAATCCCACAAGTGTTACAGAAAATCAGACAAACACAGAGCCTCCAACTGATTTTGGTCAGCCTCTACTGGCCAGCGAACGTGGTTTCCCATTCTAATTCAAGAAATCGGACAACCAACACTAGAGCTACCAAAGCCGAATCTACTAATACATCCTCACACCAAACAAGCGCACGAAACCCAGAAGCATTCCAACTTCACGTATGGACTGTATTAAAGTGTGTCTAAACAAGAGAGGTTATTCAGCCAGAGCCGCTTAAAGCAGTCACACTTGCTTTACGCTATTCTACACGTAACTTGTAATGCGGCGACAAGTGGCACAGCTTCTCAAACTTACGCGGCTAAAAAGGGATTTACAGCGAGAAATGCTACACATCCACAAGTGGCTGACTATCTGTGTTACTTACGCCAAAATAAACATTTAAAAGGCTCGACATTGTCAACATATCTTGCCAGCTTTTAGTTCTGTGATAACTATGAGAACGGGTGTCAAGCTAACCAAAACACCAGAGTTACTGGCCTTACTACGTGCATTCCGATTGGAGGATCAGAAACAGAAGTGCCGCGCTCCAGCATGGGATCTAAATATAGTGCTCCAACACCTCACAAGTGAGGCTTATGAACCACTGGAATCAACAACTTTTGAATTTCTCTCACAGAAAACATTTTTTCCTGTTATCCCTAGCAACGGCAGCCAGGATGTCAGAAATTCACGCACTAGATTATGAGAGAATACGGTTTGACGACAATCAAAACATTGTGCACATGGGACTACGATGGGATTTCATCGCCAAGAATCAATTGCCAGGTCAACCAGACAGATGATTCCATGTTCCCGCACTCTCCTCAATTCTCGGATCTCAAGATACGCTGGACCTATCTTTATGCCCAGTCTGAGCTCTCAAAATCTATTTACGACGATCGAAAACGAGGCGACGACATCTCAAACGATTATTCATCCCTCTATCGACAGCGACTCAGACCGAAGTCTCTCGTACCACCATATCAATATGGATAAGAACTGTCATACTTCGCGCTTACAAGGCTGCAGGACTCGACCCTCCAAGAGCATCTAATCCACATGAGATCAGAGCACTGGCTTCCACTCTCCCTCTACACGGTAACTGCTCATTAAATACCATTATGGAGGGCTGCTTTTGGAAATCCGACATGGTGTTTGCTAATCACTATCTGAGAGATATCACCACCGAGGACGTCTCAGGTATTCACCATTTCGGTCCCATGGTTCTCGCACAGCAGTTGACAGTCCCTCGTAGACGATGAGACATAGTCTCACGAGATTATTATGTATATATCATACCAGTATCATCTAGCTTATAACTCTACGGAGTTTTAGGGCTAAATATATACATATCTTAAGTCTACTTAGTCTTAAGCCCAGTACTGATGTTTATGTACAGTTGGGTAGCTTCTCCATTTTGGAGTCGCTTTTATATCATTACTGCTATTATCATAGCATATTATTATTGTAGTACCCATCTATGGCAACTGGTAAACTTATGGTTTATAGTAGCAGGAATTATCCTAATTCAGTGCCATTATGAAGTTCCCGTAGGGGGTTATTACATATATATATACAGTGAAGCCTCGTTAATCCGGACGGTTGCGTTTCTCAGTAAATTCGTCCGGATTCCGAATAGTCCGGACTACCGAATCAAGACTCAAGTTGCTTCCCTAAGAATTACAAAAACGACACGAATCTGGATAAAACAAATAAGCATTTAATGTAAAGCTTAATTCATCACATCAATAATTTTACCGAGTGACATCCGCATGTTGATCCGACGTGTCTGATCACGTCCTTCCTCAGCACAGGTGAGGTAATGTCTAACAAGCGATCTATTGTAGTATGCCTTGAATGTCCGAATTATTCCTGCAACCATCGGTTGAATATGAGACGTGGTATTTGGTCACATTTCGCAAAGTTAGCTAAGCACACTTGTGACTTGCAGCATTGTCGTAAAGCAAAAATCACTTTTTAGTCCACGGACCGGATCTGTCTGTCAAAGTACATTAACCAATCACACAAAACAGCTCACTTGTCATCCACGCCTTTGTTTTGTGGTGTCAATCAAAGTGTAAATGTACAGTATCTTCAGTCGGGAGCTTTTTATGTCTAACTAAAACAACAACCCAGTTGGCCAGTTATTTAAGTAAACATCGCCGGGCGGTGTTGTTACGGTTCGTGAACACGACTTACAGCGTCCGGACTTTGAAGCAATTTACTGTTTATTTTGCTGATTGGTGACAGCTACTTACCGTCCGGTTCCGGAAACCGAATTTCCGGATTATCGAGGCAAATTATATAGGCATAGATTGGTAACAAGCTGAAATCGCCCGGGAGGCGAGACATCCGGATTATCGGAGTCCGGACTAACGGGGCTTCACTGTAAATCACTAATTATTTAAATCCAAAGTATTCTGATTTTCCCACCTCCGTTTCCGTAGGATTCTACAAGCAAAAGAGCATGAGTCAGGATAAGGAAAAATATGTAATTTTCTGAATAAAATTGATATTTTATACTTATCCTGACTCATGAGGTAAGCCCTCCCATCCTCCCCACATAACACTTTGGATTTCCCTGTAAATTCAAGTGTTGGGCTCACTATATCAGGAGAGAGTGAAGCATGAGGCCAGAGGGTGGCGCCTCCTTTCCCGCGCTAAGGAAGAGGGAGGCAACTCGTGGTGAGTACTAATTAGTGATTTTACATTGAAGGGAGCTTCAATTAGGGAGATACAAGTGTTCCACTATGTTCGCAAGAAGAAGAAGACAAGCAAAAGAGCATGAGTCAGGATAAGTATAAAATATCAATTTTATTCAGAAAATTACATATTGCTCAGCATGACAGATTGTACTGGTTTTTGTCACATTTTCAATTTCAAAAGTAGACATCAAATTAAGAAGTGTCTTCAAGGATAAATGTCAGAATAGATAAATATGATATATATTTAACATTTTCCCCATGGCTGACATGTATTGATCTGTGGTATGTTGCAGGAGTAATGATGTTTGGGTGTTTGATTTTATTGAATCAGTCTGGATAAAACACCCCACCTCAAATCTCAAACCTAACCCTCGGTATGGACAATCTCAGGTATGTGATGTTATTAAGAATGTAATTTACATCAAACAGTTAATATATTGCTTTTCTTTGACATATGTTAGTGTTTTGCCTTCACAAATTTAATCATGCCAATAGTTTGGTTAATTTAATGAATAGCCATCAGTAGATGCATTAGTTTCATTAACATAACGTACATTATCATGATCAAACTAATTTCGAATCTGATTGAGTGTTGATAACCAATGATTATGACATCAGTTTCGAGTTATCTCCCTTCAGTTTGATCTGTTGTTGAACATGTTAAAACTCAGGTATCCACTTCAACTGTTGCAGGTGACAGTTAATGAGAATTGTCTGCTGATCCTGGGGGCTGTGGGGGTCCCAACCAGGTGAGTCGCAACATGAGGTATACTCATCATTAGTACACATTACCCTTTATGACTAACCCAGAGCCTAGTAGTAGTTTAAGTAGATAAAGCAGATTCATTTGTAAAGAAAGCAAACAACATGCTTTTTTGCAGATTGGACACACATTTCTGTATTATGTACAACCGTGAGTATTGTATAATGGTGATGTTTCTATGTAGATATTCAACGACATCTGGCTCCTGGACCTGAACTCAGCTCCATGGGAGTGGCATGAGATCTCCGTCAAGAATCCTGAGTCTGCTGCCCCTCAGCTGTGGTGTCACCCAGCCTGCAAGGTAACCGTGGCAACAACAGCCAATACTGACCTGTCAGTTACCAACATCTCTCATTCAAGGACACCACTATAGTGTCTGCTGTATATAAGCTGTCTATCAAGATGACCCTACAGGCCTGACTGATGCCTGCTGGTTCTTGAGGTCTAGTAGATAAACAGCACCATACCATATTAAACCCCATTTCTCCTCTCCTCACCTCATTTGTTTTGGATGATAAATTTTAGGGGTAGAAGTATATTTAAGTTTTTGCAATGTCAATATTTTTTTCTATGACTTTTGACAGGTCGGTGATGTCATGGTTATTCTGAGCAAGCCAGTGAAATCAAACCAGCCAGCGCCAGTCGTGGCTCCCCGAGCTCCAGTTCAAACTAGCCGCGTGTGGGTTCCTCCCCGTGGGGAGGTGCAGCCTGGGCCCATGAGAGGCCCCTCATCACCCACAGTAGCAAAGAGGCCATTCCCTGATACTGACGACAGTTCCAGTGCTGAGAGTTCAAACGAGGATTCCGGCAGAATTCAGTCACAGGAGATGAAGATGCTGCCCACGGGTGATGATGGAGATTCAAGGAAAGATAATGACAGCAGTGATTCAGGTACCGAATCCAACTATGGCGGAACAGCCAGTGTCCGTCCCGGCTTCCCATCCGTCCGTCCTAACGCCATGAGGAACAGACAGAGACAGTTAGAGACATTACGGAAGTATGAGGAACGCTTACGAAATGTTCAGGGCGTAAGTGGAGCGGGGAACGGTGCTGGTGGTGCCGACAACTGGGCTAAGCCAGCTCAGCAAGGACCTGCAAGGGAACCCCGATCCGCAATGTGTCTACATCTCTTAGATATCTGTGATATAGATAGGAAGCTGGAAGCATCGTGGTCCATTCCAAATGAGGCGACATCCTGTGATACCCCTGAGGAGACGATATTTTACACGTTAGTCGAAGGTCGAGGAGAGCTGGTCCTGTTTGGAGGAATACAGCGGGACATCAACTCGATGCAGCGTGGAATTGATGTCAATTTAAAGTCCCATGTTGTCAGTAACAATTTATACATCATTGGCTCCAAGAAACAGACTCTCTAGGAGTGGATGTGATATGTTCTACAGTGTTGTATGGAAACTAAATCAAAGTATCCTATTAGTTACGTTGTCTCGGGACCCTCTTGCACAGAACTATCTTAGCCATAAGTCCCGTTAACACTTAAACATAAACTAACACTGTCGTAACTCCTACGTTTTAAGATAGACTTCCAATATTGGTAGCACTTAGACTATTGAAAATACTGCCTGTGAATATGGACTATCAATAGTGATGGCCTGGAGACTATTTTGACTTCTACACTTAAATATAGACCTGAAATAGTGGTAGCACTAAGACTATTGTAAGGCTTACACTTAAACATAGACTTACAATAGTGGTAACACATAACTATGAATATCCAATAGTGGGTACCCAAAGACTGTTATAATGCCTAAATTTTAACATACACTTACATTACATAGTAGTAACATGTAAGTATGGACATCCAATAGTGTTCACCCGAAGATATATTTTTACACGTTTTCAATAGTGTAGGCCTAATTTGCTGGTGTGTTAGTGCTAAGATTGCTAGTTCAAGTGGGTCTTGACCAACCATCAAGTAGTCAAATATGTATGATCTCTTCTGTGAGTTACAATTAGTCATCGTTAGATCTGTTTCCATGGTAACATGTTTTGGAGTGCATGTATCGTCATTTTAAGTTACTGCCAGGGTTGGCTGAAAGGTTCTGAGACTTACTGTGAAGGAAGGACAGTACACCGTGCACAGTTTGCACATATTAAATACATCACCTTCCAAATACTTTACCAAATTCACAACCATGCAGGATATTTCTGTAGGAATATAATTCACTGAAAATGAGTGTGTTTGGTTTTTTCATTGCTTTTAGCAATATTCCAGAAATATCCAAGAGGGGGACACTAGAAATGTCCTCACACATTGTGCTCATGTGGTGATTCGAACCCGGGTCTTCAGCGTGATGAGTGAACGCTTTAGCCACTAGACTACCCCACCACCCTGTTTATGAAAATGAACAATTTAGTTACAAATTGTCCTCAAGTACGTCCACCTGCGGACATTGTGCCAAGATTAGAGAGTACTTCTTCCGCTTTACAAGACGTGACGGGCAGTCCAGAGGTAAAGAGAATCTCCAAGACAACCCAAGATCAGGAACACCTCAAACTGCCACTACGACAGAAAAGGCATCTCTCATGAAAAATGGGGATATTCTAATGAATGAACAGGGCATAAGAAAGATTTCTACACATTGTGTTCCACATCAGTGAGACTTAATCATCTTTGGCAGAGGTGCGTGGCCATTGGATAGGATAATGTTGAAGATAGTTAGCTACCAACTACATCATCGCATCCCATCATAGTTAGGCTCAGAACTTTTCAGTCACCCTTGCTCTTGGATTGAAGCTGCTGAATTTGTAACGTTTTAATGCATATCACAACTAGACACATCATCAGTAGAACATATTGTCTGTCAGTTACCTGCCTGGGCTGCATTTTGTATGGAAATAGAACAAAAGATGTCTAAAAATACAGCTTATTTGTATGTAAGTACCACGTCATCAGAGTTAGACCTTATGGTTTCAAGTATAAGGATATAAGTGAGGTGAAATTGGGTTTAACGTCGTGCGTGAGAATATTTCGCTCATATGACGACGTGCATGCCATGCCTGTGTGTGTGTGTGTGTGTGTGTGTGTGTGTGTGTGTGTGTGTGTGTGTGTGTGTGTGTGTGTCTGCTTGTACTAGCCCAGACTGAAGCTGGTTTTATAGTGCTAGCCCACTGAGATACCATGCCGCAGTGAAGCATGAATACCCCACTCACAGACATTATACTGACTCCGAGCTGACCAGTCCTTGTTCTACCCATTAATGCCGAGCGCAGGGAGGGACCAACAAGTACCATATTTTAACGTCCTTTTGGTATGACACGGTCGGGTATCCAACCCGCGACCTTCTGTTCTCCGGGCGGACGCTCTAACCACTACACCACGGAGGCTGTCCGATAGGGTAGAGATCATGCCTGTGTCCGGGTTCGATTCTATACATCTATAAGGCTATAAAAGGAATGTGTGATCAAATGAGTGAGTGAGTGTTGTTTTATGCCATTCAGCAGTGGTATGAGCAATGATCCATGCTGTAGTAATTAGTAATGTATACATTTGATTCAGATTTCATAATTAAAAGAACAGGTGGAGTTCTGTTCAAAGTGGATATGTTTGATCATTGCCTCAAGACCTGTTTCGTTTCACTTTGAAAGGAGAAGCTGAACAGTGTTATTTATGGGTAAAACTGGAGGCAAATAATTTCTATTAACATCTGGAACAGCTATTTTTTCATGAGAATCACTGGTGCTCTCTCCTCACCCCATATCTTGAGTGGATTCCCATGAAAAACTAAGTTTGTCAATTTATGTTAACTAATGTTGGTTTGAAAGTGATGATGTTGTCAAAACAAACAAACTATTCCCCCAACAGTAGATGTTGTCTTTTCTTAAAAACCAATGGCAAATACTCTGCATCAAATGAAGATCTTCATAGAAACAATACTGATATTTAAGACACAAGTATGACATTCAAGTTATTTTATAGGGTCAAAACCAGTCAGGCTTGTCTTTGTTTTATTCCCACCAACAGATGAATTACATCTCAAATCTCCTGAAGCAATTTAAGAATAAGATGAAAAGAATTTTATTCCAAGCTGTTATTACACTCCTATGCTTACAACAAGAATAATGGACAGATTGCAAGATACACTGGTCACAATGCAATATGACTATGACCTGGGCACTGTTACACTAAATAATAATGTAATTATTATTATTAATGTACTTAACAAGGGGTGGTAGGGTAACCTAGCGGTTAAAGCGTTCACTCGTCACGCTGATCACCCGGGTTTGATTCCCCACATCTGTACAATGTGTGAAACCCATTTCTGGTGTCCCCCAGCCATGATATTGCTGGAATATTGCTAAAAGCGGCATAAAACCAAACTCACTCACTCACTACTCCTGTACTTAACAAAGACCTACAACAACAATGATGTTACTTTCAGGCAAGTACTATGGGATAACAAATCTATCCGAGGAAAATATATAAACAGCCTGATTTATGATTTGTTTATTCACTATTTTAGCTTTTTATTTTTTTTAAAGTAAAGGATCTGTCTGAAATCTTATAATAAAAGAAACCGGTTTTATGTTTATCTATTTTCTTGTCTTCACAGTTTCATACTCATAAGTTTGAATCAAATCAATATGCTCTGTTAACTCACTCAGCAAGCTCTTGGCAAACACTATTGGTAAAGTAATATGCTGTTAAGAGTTTTTGTACATGTTAGAGGAACAGATAAGCTGCGTATCTGCGTAAATTACGCAAATGTTTATGTGAAAACTCAATTCCTATTAAGTCTGTTGCATACAAGTACGCTTGAAGGTTGGTAAATACTCAATAAATGTGATCTTACATGCGTACACACGAAAATGTCAAATCTTAGCTTGCGTACCGGTGGATAGATATAAAAATAACTGAGGTATACTGAGAGGTTCTATTTCCTTTTCAGGACATGAACTTGACAACTTGCAGTCTTTCTTATCGTTTCTTATCATTTTTCATATTACAGATCAAATGTAAATAACAAACACTAACATTTGAACTTTATTATATTTTTAAAATTAATGGAAAACGGCAAAATACCCAATTGAGTTGGAGTGAGGTGAGTACAATTTAATTAGTTACTCAAAGGAACATTAGGATACCCAACTGAGATGAACACAAGCGAGTACTTAACTCAATGACCCAAACAGTTATCTGTAGCTCTGACATGTGGTCGTTCCATGAGGAATAATTTGGACATTTAAGGATTATAAATCCCTCTAATAAGTTGCCCAGTTCTAATAGAGGCTTGGGCCCTATTACACAAAGTGATCTTAGCGAAGATCCTAAGTACAGGAGTTATGATCATCCGGATTCATAGCTCTAAGATTACTTCGAGTGGGCTCTGGTCTTTAGAGAAATGGTGCTTTAGCTACAATCACTAATGAATTGACATACAAATAAGTTCTAAGTTCTCAGTACCAATTTCATTAAAAAATGATAACCTTGGAATCTTGTAGAGCTCATAAGCTAAACTGGGATCCGTCTTTCTAAGGTTTTATTTACTCAGGAGAGTAGTAACACCAGTATTACATATCCGAGGCATATCAGAGACTGGGGCTGAGTGCTTTGTACACTGTTCATGTGTATTGGGGTGTGACGTTTGAGACTCTGGTGCTTATTAGATATACAAGGTACAGTATTTTTTCAGAAAACCTGTGTCCAAAATATTTTGTTTAATAAAGCATATTCTTGGCTCCCTCAGGAATATGGAATGGTCAGTTCCTGATACTCACTCCCACTCACTCACTCTCGATTTCAGTAAACGAGTCAAGGGGGGAATCTTACAATAGCAATTTTTCACATTTTTGAGTTGTAGAAATTTGTTGATAATTTCTGTGCAAAAAATTGAGGCTCTTATTAAAATCAGAAGTTAACAATTATTCAATTTGAGGTTGGTAGATCCATGAATCATTTGATATAATAGTAAGCACTCCTTTGTTTTTCCTAGTCATATGGTGTAAGTGAATTACGTACTACTGAAGTAGAGTTTTAGGGTTTTACAAGGCCACGACACTGCCACAGGGCCCACCTAGTGTATAACGTAACCATGGTAACCTTGCATGATATTACCTTCACTCTAAGTCTGTGTATAGAATTTAAAATACTGAGATGAATAAAAGGTATTTCTGCAGATATATTTATTTGTGTTGTTTGTGATGGATACAACTTGCCAGGGGAGCATTGTTGTCGTTACTGTGACCTCTACAATCCACGCTCAACAGCAGGCATTGGTAAAACAACTCCAGTTTAAAACAAAAAGTTTGACCTCACCTGAACAGTTCAGTACAGCATGACCTCCCCTGACAGTTCAGTACAACATGACCTCACCTGACAAGTTCAGTACAGCATGACCTTCCCTCACGAGTTCAGTACAGTATGACCTACCGGGTAACCTGACAAGTTCAGTACAGTATGACCTAACCTGGCAAGTTCAGTACAGCATGGCCTCCCCTGACAAGTTCAGTACAGCATGACCTCCCCTGACAAGTTCAGTACAGCATGGCCTCCCTGACCAGTTCAGTACAGCATGACCTCCCCTGACAAGTTCAGTACAGCATGACCTCCCCTGACCAGTTCAGTACAGCATGACCTCCCCTGACAAGTTCAGTACAGCATGACCTCACCTGACAAGTTCAGTACAGCATGACCTCACCTGACAAATTCAGTACAGCATGGCTTTCCCTGACCAGTTCAGTACATCATGACCTCCCCTGACAAGTTCAGTACAGCATGACCTCACCTGACGAGTTCAGTACAGCATGACCTTCCCTGACAAGTTCAGTACAGCATGGCTTCCCCTGACCAGTTCAGTACAGCATGACCTCACCTGACCAGTTCAGTACAGCATGACCTCACCTGACCAGTTCAGTACAGCGTGGCCTCCCCTGACAAATTCAGTACAGCATGACCTTTCCTGACCAGTTCAGTACAGCATGGCCTCCCTGACAAGTTCAGTACAGCATGGCCTCCCCTGACAAGTTCAGTACAGCATGACCTCCCCTGACAAGTTCAGTACAGCATGACCTCCCCTGACCAGTTCAGTACAGCATGACCTCCCCTGACCAGTTCAGTACAGCATGACCTCCCCTGACAAGTTCAGTACAGCATGACCTCACCTGACCAGTTCAGTACAGTATGACCTTTCCTGACGAGTTCAGTACAGCATGACCTCCCCTGACAAGTTCAGT